GCACCTTTCATGTCGGGTGGGCGCCCCAAGGCACTGAACAGTCGGGGATCAGGACCCAAGCGTGTGGGGGCAGGGTTGGGATGAGGGAGGGCAGAGGGGTAGGAGGCCAGCTGAAGACGAGGTCGAAAAGCAGGGTGTTGAGTCTTGCCTTGAAGGAGGCAAAAGAGGGAGCAAGGCGAAGGGATTGTGGGATGGAGTTCCAAAGGGTGTGGGCGGACGTTGTTAGCTCGGTCGCCGATGGTAGGACGGGTCGGGCGGGAGACATGGAGCAGGCCGGAGCCTGCTGAACAGAGGGAGCGGACAGATTGATAGGGGGTCAGCAGGTCAGAGATGTAGGAGAGGTCAAGGCCATGAAGGGCCTTGAAAGTGAGGACAAAGATTTTGAATTCTATCCTCTGAGGGATGGTGAGCCAGTGGGGCCAGGTGAAGGTGGAGGTGATGCAACAAGCAGCAGAAAATAAGAAAATTAGGTAAAACAAATCAAGATTGAGCAAGTGTAAAAAAGGGTATTTGAGAACTGGTTACACATTTCTCACTCCACTTTATAGTATATCCTCTTGTATCCAGAAACATCCTCCTAATGTGAAAGGTACTGTGCCAAATGTAAGAATTATTATTATTCAACCAACCACGATGAATGCCGACTGCCCACCGTTCTCCTGATGCAGACCTTCTAAATAATATATAATTTCAATAGTGTTTCCATTTTTCCCTCAGGTGCCTTCTCGACTTCCTAAGCAGCCTCCTCAGCCAAGAGACCATGATAGGCTTCTCTCTGGTCGATGTTCAGTGTTTCAAGCTCTCCAAAATGCTACCCTGCATGAAGAGTGCTATATAAATGCGAGCTGTTGTTGTTCAAATAGCAACAGTTTGGGAAATGAATGAGTTGCTTCGCCCCCCCCAATTCTCAACTCATTGAGGGATACAAGCAATAAGCCAGCCAGATGTTTGTCACAAGGGCAATAAAAAAATAAGTATTGAGAACTGCTATGAGCTGCTGAAGACAAACATTTAGAAAGGGAGTTCTGCCGGCAATAGAGAGAGAGAAAAGAGGAAGCCATAAAACTGAGATTAAGAGAGATTTCAGTACTCCAGAAATTAAAGTATCAAACCAGGAGTAAATAGAAATGGGCAAAGAAAGTGTAAACAATTTCTTAGAAGTAATTAGTGGCTAAATACAGCATGAACATAACATGTGAAGTGCAGTACTGAGGGAGATGCTAGATTAGATTTAGTGTTCAGCAATCCAAAAGAATGAATTAGTCAACTGGAAGGAAATAACTATTTGTGGTGTACTATTCGTTGTACAGCCAATTTGACATTATAATTAAACCCGAAGCCAAATTTCTAGTTGTGCAAGAGCTCGGAGAACTCTTGGCAGGATTAAGTGGGAAAGAGAATTCATGAGTTTCCACATGGCTCAGTTGGTAAAACCACCATCTGGTGTGAAACAGATCTGCAGACTAAGGAGGTCGCAGGTGAGGTCTCCAGTCTGTGCTGTGCTACCTAACCTCAACCAGGAGAGCAGCAACTGGCCTCAGCCCAACTGTGGTATGGAAGGAGAAAAGCAGGGTTGCTGTTCTCGATTACTATCCAGTGAATCCTGCAGCACATCATACAGCTTAGGTAGGAGTTCTGGATGTTTGAATTCAACTGCTCTGGCAATGTAACTTTTTCACTTTGTTTATGTGAACAGCCACTATCACCCCCACCTTGAAGAAACCTTCCCTTGACCCATCACAGCTATCCAGCTACCGGCCCATCTCCCACCTCCCTTTTCTGTCTAAGGTCCTTGAGAGAGCCGTCGCCACCCAGCTTCGTTTTTTCCTCTCCTCTCACTTCCCTCTATGAGCCCCTCCAATCGAGTTTCCATGCTGCCCACAGCACAGAAACTGCTCTGGTCAAGGTCACAAACATCATCCTGACCATGTGTGACCAGGGCTTCCTCTGCCTCCTCGTCCTCTCCGCTGCCTTTGACACCATGGACCACTCAATCCTCCTCCACCACCTCTCTTCCCACTTCAACCTTCAAGGTTTTGTCCTTGACTGGTTCAGGTCCTACCTTTCACACCGCCTCCACTTCGTCTCGGCAAGCAGCTTCTCCTCCAGTCCCCACATGTCTCGTTCGGCGTTCCTCAGGGCTCTGCCCCCGGTCCCCTCCTCTTCACCCTCTACATGCTCCTCCTTGGTGACATCATCCGCAGACATGGGGTAAATTTCCACACGTATGCGGATGACACCCAACTCTATCTCTCTGACTCCACCCTGAACTCCAGGACTACTGACGTCCTGACCGACTGCCTATCTGACATCAAGTCCTGGACAAGGGAGAACTTTCTCCAACTGAACGTCAGCAAGACCGAGGCCCTCCTGATTAGCTCGTGCTGGCACCTCCACACCTCAGGCGCTGGCAACATCAGCCTCCACGGCTGCAAACTCAATATAATTAAGCCAGTCAGGAACCTGGGTGTCTTGTTTGTCCCTGAACTGTCCTTTCTCCCCCACATCCGCACTATGACCGGCACTGCCTACACCACCTCCGCAACATTGGCAGACTCCGCTACTGCCTCATCCCTCAGGCTGCCGAAACCTTCACCCACGCATTCGTCTTATCAAGGCTCGATTATGCAAACTCCCTCCTCATCGGCCTTCCCAACTCTTCCCTTCACAAGCTGCAGATCATCCAAAACTCTGCAGCTTGTGTACTTTCGCGCACCAGGGGCTCCACTCCCACCCTCGCCCGATCCACTGGCTCCCCATTCCTCAGTGGATCGAATTCAAGATCCTCGTCCTCACTTTAAAGACCATCCATGGCCTTTCCCCCTCCTACCTCTCTGACCTGCTGACTCCCTACCAACCTGCTCGCACCCTCCGTTCAGCGGACTCCGGCCTGCTCCATGTCTCCTGCCTGACCCGCCCTATCATCGGTGACCGGGCTTTCAGCCTCTCTTCCCCCACACTCTGGAACTCCATCGCACAGTCCCTTCGCCTCACTTCCTCCCTTGTCTCCTTCAAGGCTGGTCTCAAGACCCTCCTCTTCGATCGTGCCTTCAGTCACCTTCCCACCTCTCTGCCTTCCCCTAACCCTCCCCCAACACTCCCCCATGCTCAGGTCCTGACCCCTGACTGTCCAGCGCCTTGGGACGTCCTCCTGTCGTGAAAGACGCTCTATAAATGTAATTTTGTTATTGTTTATCACTGCCTCACACTGGTTGGACATGGTGAGTGATGACTCAACTGACACACCGAGATTTTTCTCAATTTCCCTGTTGGCATGTTCTACACCAATCGGGGACTGAAAAACAGTATTTTTCAGTCACAATTTACTAGAACAGGAAACTGACTGAATGTAGTTGGTTTCCTGAAATCTCTCACTGAAAGTCTGCTTCCACATTAGCAGATTTCAGCAAAAAGAGTCAGGTCAGAAATCCAAGATGGTAGTCCATGGCAGCCATGGGATTAACTGTGCAAACAGCACTGATTGGAAGGGGAGAAGACCACTGGCATTTTATTGAGATAAGAGAAACATGTAGCAATTCACAAATATAGTAGCTTGCATTTTATATAATGCCATTCACATGCGGGTAGCATCTCAGAGCTTAGTCTTCCATGTTTGGTCTTCAGGTGCGATCTGAAGATGGGTGAGGAGACAAGTGTCGGCGCCTGAGGTGCGGAGGCGCTGACGCGAACCAATCAGGAGGGCCTCGGTTTTTCGCACGTTGAGCTGAAGAAAGTTGTCTCTCGTCCAGGACTCAATGTCGGACAGACAGGCTGTCAGGACATCGGTGGTCGTGGAGTTGAGAGTAGAGGAGGAAAGGTAGAGTTGGGTGTCATCCGCATACATGTGGAAGTTAACTCCATGTCTGCGGATGATGTCACCAAGGGGGAGCATGTAGAGGGTGAAGAGGAGGGGACCGAGGACAGAGCCCTGAGGGACTCCACATGAGACAGTACGGGGGGTGGAGGAGAAGCCATTCGTCGAGACAAAGTGAAGACGGTGAGAAAGGTACGACCTAAACCACTCAAGGACAGTGCCTTGAAGGTTGAGGTGGGAGGACCTAAACCCCAAGAAATGTGCATCAAACACAGATAATTATTAGGAAATTAAATGCTCTAACTCTGAACGCTGAAGTTAAGGACTGAGCAACAATTGAACTGTTCACATGATTTTCAGGGTCTGACATACTTGAATTTATCTGGAATCATAGAAATCTACAATACAGTAGGGGGCCATTGACTCATTGTATTCTGGTGGTATTTGTAATGTCCAATGAAACCCAAATCCCAATTCCCCATTATTTCACTGTAACCTTTAATACCCTTCCTCCCCATGTCACTATGTAATTTGCTTGTTGATCTATATACAATATCAACAACGTAATTCTACTCCCTGAATATGGAAAATATTGAAATCAATTTTGTAATTTGACCTCTTTTTTTACGAAGCAATTGGTCAGCATCAGCCAACAGGGGCTTTTTCAGAGCACAGTTGATTCCTGGACCTGCACATCTGGCTCAGATACCCAGCCTTACACCACCCACTGCAGTTTCAATCCAGCAGAAACAATGGAGAGGATGCACATTACAGCCCACATTGCTCATTGTTTCAACAACATAAATCTTCTCAAAACAGGGCTTACACAAGTGCCAATTACAAAACCAGAATTAAAGGGTTGAAAAAGTAAAAAATGATAGGTTACACTAGTTTTTTTTCCTCTTTCTGACTTTCAGATTTATTACCATTTTAATACCAGAAGAGCTTTTATTTACCATTCAGCTTCATTTTCTGTGTGTGTCCATCAGCACTGTTATTCAGAAAACTGCTCAATTTTCCCAAACAACAACAAATTACATTTGTATTGGACCTTTCACATCAGGAGGACGTCCCAAATACTATACACCTATCTAATACAGGTAGATGTAGATGTATGTACATGTAGATTCCACCATGTTTAGGTACGTAATGCATGGGATATTAACTTCAGGTCAAAGTGACTTACTTTTACATGACTCTGCGCACCCAGGTTGTAGATTTCAGTTGGCTTCACTGCATTGATGATTTTCACCAGGCACATACTGTCAGTAAGGTCTCCGTAGTGCAGTTTCATATCTGCAAACCAAAAGGCCAGGTTAGTACATAATGCATGTACAATGGGAGTCAGGTCATAATAGTCAATGTTACAATGTTTGTATTGTTTCTTTTAAAAATCAACGAATAGCCATTGCATAAAACGCAAACGAGTCCATTCCAAGAACATTAAAGAAACAATACATTAAAGCTAAACCATATCCAAAAACCTGAAGGCTGCCAAGTTTCCAGTTTGTGCTGTGTTAGTTGGGGCAACTACATGAGTGCTGTATTAGCCTCAACACCCCGCTGGTCCGGAGGGTGGGGAGATCCACCAATGTTCCTACTTCTGATTATGATCTGTATGGCCAGCTGGAAAACTCATTCATGTAGATAGGAGCTGCTCAGCGGCAATGCTTTGCAAGGTTGAATAAAGCTAATGGTAATCTCAAGACTCATGCATGAAGAAATGACACTTAGACGAGACAAAAGAAGCAAGCCGGCTTCCAAGGGACTGTACCGCAGAGTGAATGAGCCATGTCACGAGATGCAAAAGCAAAGAGAAGGTTGGAGGGTGGAGGGGAAACATGCAGCTCCTATGTCTGGAAGGCTCTTCAAGTATGTATCTCTCCGATAGACGTAAAATCAACCTTAACACCACTTCTTCTCAATCAATCTGTTTTTTTCCCCTGATTTTATTTGAATCATGGAATGCAGTACTCGTCACCTCACTTTTTAATTTTAACATCTATAATATCTTAGAAAGTCAGTAATACAACCTTCATATTTATTTCCAAACTTCACAATGGAACACACAATATACTCCAATACAAATGGAATTCAACATGCTGGTTGTGGCAAACTGTTACCCAATACTAGTAACACAACCAGCCCAAAGGAAATGAAAAAGTGCACGTATTCATAGATGTGACTAATCAACTTGGAGAGAGGGTTAGTGGGAGTCCATAAATTATAAAGTTACGTATTGGTGCGTTTGGAATTTCCCAGCGATGTATTAGAGATAAGCTTTTCCATAAATCTGCAAAGGTGACATTACAATATTATTCAGCATTGCATGGGCATTCTGGAATGTACACTGAAACAGCAAGGGGAATTCCTCAAAAGTTTGTAAAACAAAATGTTCAGTTAAAATTTATAATAATCCTTGCATTTGACATAGGGCCTTTCACATCTCAAAGTGCTTCCTGTGCTGTGGCTTGTGTATTTTGTTGACAAACTAGGCTGTTGATTTGTGTACAGCAATGTTTGATAAACAACCATGAAGTAAATGATATTTATTTGGGGGATTGTTGGCCAGGACACCACAAAAAACTTCCTTCTTGTTTCAAAACATGCCATGGGATCTTTATCATCCATCTGAACAGGCAGACAGGACCTTGTGTAATGTCTCATCTGAAGGACAGCACCTCTGACAATGCAGCAAATTCCACAAATAAACAACACAAAAATTAGTAGATATCAGAAGAGAATCCGAAGAGGAAACTGATAATAGTCCATGGCTGAACTGAAAATCCAAGCTGGTTGGGGCAGAACAAGAATCAGATGAGGGGTTTGCTAGAATCTGCATCTTATCCCAGGTATTAGCTTTAGCTTGGTCAAAACATCTCGCTGACCGCTGCCTATCCTCTCCCGCCCCTTCACAAGTCCTTTGTGCTCATTTACAATAATATTGCCTCTCTTGAAGTCCCCTTGCTTTCCCCGCTCTCTGAAAACCACAAAGGTCTGCAGCTCTCACTAAATTCAAATGCAAACTCTAACACATTTTCTGCACTTCATTTGCCAGTTTTCTCTTTTGTGTTTCTCTTTTCCTTTTGCTCTATGTCCATTTAGATCTCACTATTTGAAATAACAATTTTAAGTCCAAATGGATGGGAGAGGAAGACCAGATGATGAAGGAAGCACCCATTCAGTCGCCTGACCATCTCACACCCAATGCCATCCATAGTCTGCTCCGAGACGGATGCCTGGATCGGAAGGCCGGAGATAGAGGTAGCATTCAGGATTGAAGAAAGATTCGGAGTCTAAGATAATTGATAAAGATACAGGTTGGCTGAAATTCAGATTAAGATCCTCATGGATTGAGAAGCAAAATTATACTTTATTACCTGCTCCAAATCACTCGCCTTTATTCACAGAACTCCACTGCCCAGCAGGGAGGCCTCAGAGTGCAGACTACTCTCCCAAGTTCATTAGCCTACTCAGAAAGTTTATTTGTACACTGCAACACAATTATAGTAGTGTTTGGTATCCACCTACACTACTCGCCGAACTGGTGCGCAAACTTGGCATCCAGCTCCCCCATTTTCCTTTCTCTCTCACATCCAGTACTTCACTAAGACTGCTTTTCTTCACCTCCGCCACAATTTCACACCCAAAGCCATTCATGCTTTTGTCACATCCCGCTTAAACTTGCATGCCTCACTTATCTTCCTAGTTCCAGCATTCACAAGTTGCAACTCATCCAATAGTCTGCCAGCTGCATCCTCTGCTGCACCATATCCTGAAAGCTCATCACCCCAGTCCTCTCCCATCACTCCAGTTCTCTCCCATCACTCCAGTTCTCTCCCATCACTCCAGTCCTCATCAGTTTCCACTGGCCTCCCAAGTTCCCAGCAGATCAATTTCAAAGCTCCATACCTTGATCTACCAATCCATCTACTACCTGGAACTACATTATCTCACTGATCTCTTACCCTACTCCTCTGGTTACCCCCACTGCTCAGCTAACTTGGCCTTGCTGTGATCCTGGGTTACCAAGTGAACACCGGTGTCATTTCCTACTTCTGCACATATGCAAATTAGGAAGTGATGTTGACGGAGACCTAATAACCTAGATTTGTCCATTTCAGTGTGAAAATCCAGCTGGTATAGTGAATGGGGTCCACAGTGCAACCATATTATAAGCGAATTTGTGCTCTAATGAAGCACATCACTTCAGAGCTGCACTGTATTTGTTTTTAAAGTTTAAAAGTTCAGTGAACAACAACTCCACTTAAAGAGCACCTTTCACATAGGATGAATGTTTTGCGGCACTTAAATTGTCAGCTGCTATACAACTGGAGTCACCCTGTAGCAATTCAGATTGATATCAGTCCAAAACCACCGGCTGGAGGCAATTTCAGGAGAGGAATTCAAATCAATGCCAATTAAGTCAGAGTAACATTATGCTGTATGTTAATTCTAATATGGAAACCACATCAATTTGACACAAACTGACACATCCTCATGATAGTAGCATAAAAGTTTGATTACAATAAACAAAAGAAACTCTAATAATAATGATCTTTAACAAGTTATATTTTTGCAATCTGCATTACACTTTCCCAACACCAAATCAATTGAAAAGTCCAATAACTTAACAAACCTCTAGTGACTACGCAACTTTCTAATTCTCAACGCAGGAGAAAATGGGAATTCATCTTGTTTCCACTATTATACACAGAGATATTTGAAATGTAGGCTAAGGCTTTGGGTTGAGGCTAATTGCACATGTACTAATACAAGACATTTTGGGTGATTTTCAGAACATGCGTCTGATAAAAAGCTTCTCGGAATAGTCATAACCAGAATATTTCAAAATACCCTCCCATAAAGCAATTTGATCACTATTTTTGTAATCCTGCTGTCTAATATGCAACAGCAGGAAAAAGATTTATGTCTAGCAAATCCTGCATAACAACTCTCAGGAGCCCTGCTCAGTTGTTGATCTCAGTTCCAATTTCTGTGAAGCCAGATTTCAGCTAAAGGAGGTTCCTGGCACCAATGAGGGTTGGCCCCTGACACATCCGGATACCTGCAGGATTCGATAGTTAAAAATACTTTTGCAACTTGGACCCCACTGTGCTTCACACCAGATATTAGTACTTATTTAATGCCCATTTGTAACTCGCTTATGGCCAACATATGCTTTTCGATTTTGAGACCACCCACAATGACTCTTTAGGTCAAAGTTCACCTTAGATCTTGAACACTCAGAAGCATCTTGATCAATTCACAAGTACAATGTTAGTGCATTTGTAGGTTTCAATAAACTGCACTTCAGACAGGATAAACCAACTGTGATTCTTTTGGGGCTTGAACAGTACAGTTTCTCATCTGTGTAACAGATTAAGTAAATTTTACAAAATATGCATAACAATTTGATTGGGAATAAGTAGGCTACTTTTTCCCCACCTCCATGTGTGCAGTGTTAAACTTCACTCTAGTCAGAATCATTACTGAGTGCATCTGGATCACCACAATTAGCCATAAAAAGTTAACATTGAAATCTATTCTAACAAAATAATAACCCAGTTTTATTGCCAGATTATCGTGGCTAAAAGAGGTACACTTATAAATCCAAACAGTAAAAGAAAACGCCGTTCAAACACAGTCATAAAGCCAAACCGGGTGTTTGTTTTGAGATTCAGAAAATCAATTTTCTTCCTGATGCACTCAGAAGACAGGAAGAAAAAGTTGGAATAGAACAGAATGGTAAATCTGGCCCAAAAACAGCATGTAGGCAAAGAGGAAAGTGTCAGCCATGTATGGACACAAACTTACTTCCTTCTGTGTGTGTATGTGGATTCTTGTATAAATGCTCGATACGCCCAGTGTTGAAAGAACTGGATCGACGTACAATACCATGCACCTGCGTAGAAAAATGCAAAAAAGCATGTTAAATACAGCCATCATTCAGTTACTACCATTAGCAGACCTAAAAAAAGAACATCCAAAGGGTGAAATCTGCAGAAGGAATCCAACACAACAACTCCAACTGGACTGATAAATCACTACCACTATCCAAAAAAACATGCGGTCTGCCGTGAAACAGCTCACCTCCTGATACAAAACAAATAGCATGAGTGGGGGCAGAAAGGCTGAAGTCCCAACTGCGGATGATATAACACGTATATAATGAATATAAATATAAAGAATATAACAAAGGTATCTGACAACATTCATCCAAGTCATGGAATGCAGTGTACTAGTCTGTCCATTGCAGGATAGGAAATTAGATTGTTATAAAAGTTTTTTGGAACAAGGGGGTTAATTTATAAGGCATAGTGGGGCCTGCACACAAATCTATCACCTCTGGTACCAAGAGTCAAATCTGACACATGCTAATAGGAAGAAGGTTATCTCTGGCTATTGACTGTAAAGTATGTGAAATTAATTTGAGGATATAAAACAATGGCCCATCAATACAATGCTACATTTTATATTGCACCGGTCATATTTCAGAGCAAAAGTACTTCCAACTGAGCAAGGCTGACACCATAATATTTGAAAGTGAACTGGATGAACGTTGAAAGAGATATAAAATGGAAACAGAGAAATGGAAAGAACAGGCAATGGGATTAGAGCAGATTGGCTAGCATTTGTTAAATGTGTATGATTGTGTATGTCAATTATCTAATGTGGCTTCAAGGTTCAAGACTGATCAATGACAAACCATACCCAACCTTCATCCAATCTGGTTAAGAATGAAGGATTACTGAATTTGTTTGAAAACGAAACATTTTTGACAAGTCACAAAACATATTAAAAAAAGAAAGCTTAACTTTCCCTGAACAGGTAAAATTGCGACCTCTGCTCACATCAAAAAATTGCTCCAAATTAAAACTAGACACTTGTATTTTTTAACAATGACCGAAAACTGGTTTGAAGACCCATTTACAGCCGGTGAAAGACTGAAAAAGTCATGGCATAGTTGAGTGAAAGATATGAGTAAGTAAACTCATTGGTGGTCCCACAGAGAGATGTGGACAAGTAAACCTGTTTATGATGCTTGAATAGTTGAAAAACAAATTGCTACAAAGAATGTAAATCAACTTCAACACTATTTTATATTTCTCTCTCAATTTCAATTTTTGGACTTTGTTTAAAATAGTGTCAACGTGATTGGAAGAGTTACTGAACCCACTGGTGCAAGGGAGTTGAATTGACAGTTACAGGGTTATTTTTGGCCTCCAGAATGGCCTAGGAATAGAAAGTAGTTTTGGCCTGTGTGAATGAGAGGTGGTAGGTACGAAGATGCTCAAGCTACATTTGGCGATGAACCAAGAGGCCAGTTTTATTCCATCTGCGCTCGAGCATCTGCATTTGGTATTCAAGGGAGCAGAGGTGGCTGCTATACGAGGGGGTATGTTTGGATTTCGGGGTGGGGTGGGGGGGCAAGGGAATTGAAAATTGAGGAGAGACGTATGTTTAGCAGCTTGATGGCTGCGTCGGGATTGCTGCAGGTGTAAGGCCAAGGGATAGAAGGTCCAAGGATGAGAGAGCATTTGTGAAGGACTCGGGGGGAAGCTTTTTCCAAGGGTGGAAAAAAATGGTGGAGGGCTTGGAGGGGGGAGGGGATTACGGGAAGAGAGGGAGATGAGGAAGCGGTCAGAGATAGCCTTGTTCATGATGGACAGGTAGTTGAGATATAATAAATATTGGTGGCCAATTAGGGATGACTCACACTGGCCAAAGATTTCATGGGAACCAAGTATTCACCAGTACCTTGCTTCAATGCCTTTTTTATGTGTAAGCCAGGCAAGGAGAGTTGAGAAGTGCTTCAACTCCAGTTCTGGCATCACAACCAATCCAATCCTGTCTGAACAAGGTACAACTAACAGGAAAGATGGTTAAGGCCCGCACAATAATTTAAGAAGCAGCTTCATGCTATACTGTAGGGGAGAGTTTTGGAAGAATGAGACCAAATGGGCCAACTGGCTTACTTCAGCTGAAACTCTGGGGTGATCTCTGCTAACCAACCAAGGTGGATTTCAGGAACTGGATGATAGAACATGTGTTCACAAACTCAATCTCCAGATAATGTGTTCCAGCAGCTGTCACCCCAAGCCTCAGAGATTACTCATCAGTTATCTGATGGATACCCACCTTCAATGTGCTGGGAGGACCTTCATAGGGCAGCTTGTTAAGTGCTAGCAACCTTGATGTTCTCGAGGTCCAAGTCCAATTCCTTGAAACCTAAGGAAGGTTAAGTGTATCCACCTCTCACATGGATCTACTATAAAACATCCACTGTAATAAACCTCTGCCCTGTAACATAGTCCATTAATTCCCTTGAGTGCTGTTTTAACTGGGACAGGAATTGAGACAAGGAGAAGCGTAATATCCAGAGTTTTCAATTGCATCATTTGTTTTTGTGGCATATTACATCATTTACTAGTTCCCCAATTAATCTGAGATTCCTTCTGTAGGTTGCTGGTGATCTGACACTACGAGATGTGTGTAGGAGGCACGTCCCAAAGGAACAGACAGAATACAGCAGCAGACCTAAATGATAATGAAAACAATGAGCTGGCACAATGGTTTTGCTAGGTCGCATGTTCTCTTCTGCAACTGAGATTATTTATCGGCACTTGACTGGAAACACACAAAGAGTATATGGAAACACAGGAAACACATGATAACTGCAGCAAAAAATCAACCATTCAAGTCTGGACTTTCTCACCTCATAGCCCTTTTGCAAGAGAAACTCAGCCAAATACGATCCATCCTGAGGGGAAATAAAACACAAAACACAGAAGGTTAGAAAATCATCTCTTGAAATTCATATTCAACTTAATAAATTTGTGAAAGTCAAGATGTTGTCTTAATTGTTAAGAAAGTTAAGAAAGGCTGGCTAATCCAGCCTAGGTGTTTTTAGTTATTGTTGCCAATTCTACCTGCTGAATTTCTAGAAAAAAACGTTTAATCCATCTAAACTGTTTGTAATAACCATGTGATACCTTCAATTACAGGTATAATTGGTGGGGAAAAGAATTAACTATATCTCTTTAAAACCATGAAGATTAAATACAATATTTGGGAAGTTACAAAAAATTATCTCAAAAGACTAGTTTGCAAGCAATGTTTGTTGCCAAATATATTATACGTATATACACACAATATATACATATATATATTTAAGTAGAAACACACAACGAATAGGCATTTTTTCTGCATGCAATGAATAATTTCGTCCACAAAATACAAAATCAATCCACTTTATAGTAAAATCCTATGAAGCGCTTTGAGACATCTTGACGTGATAAAGTGCTATATTAAATGCAAGGATTATTATTATAATTATTAGGATTATGATTGAACTGATAAGAATATTTAGGACAATGAACAATCTTAATTTATAGTCCATACAAAATGCCAACTTTGTAGATGCTCAAAAGCCATTTCACTCCAAAAATTCTGATTAGATTTATGTGGAGTTTGATTCTATGCAGTTTGAATTATGATTTGAAACTGTGGCCCCAAAACATGGACATATGAAACATTGTGCATTTTATTTGATGATCGATGCTCCATCTGAGATGGACACTCCAGTGCAGTGTTGAGGAGTGCTACAGTGTTGGAGCTGCGATCCTTCGGATGAGATGTTAAACTGAAGTCCTGTCTGCCTGTTCAGGTAGACAATAATAATCCCTCCAAAACAAAACAATAATAAATTGGTCATTTTCAATCCACCACTGTTTGTGGGACACTGCTGTGCACAATTGGCTGCCGCGTTTTGTCCACAAATATACGGTCAATTCACTTTACAGTATATTCTGTGAAGCGCTTTGAGACGTCTAGAAGACGTGAAAAGCGCTATATCAAATGCAAGGATTCTTCTTATTATTATTAAAGATGGCACTATTTGAAAAGGAAAGGGAGTTTTTCCCAGTGTCCTGGTCAACAAGTCCCTCAGGTTAAAATTAGTCATTCACTTCATGACTGTTTGTGGGATATTGTTGTGCGCAAATTGGCTGTCAGTTCGCCTACAAATCCACAGTCACTACACTTTGCAGTAAGTTCCATAAACCGCTTTGAGACGTGATAAGGCGCTATATCAAATGCAAGGATTGTTATGATTATCTTGTACAATGATTCAATGGAAACTTCATGATGTTTCCAAAGACTGGCTGAAAACAGATAAAACTCTCCATTGTCAGGCAAAGTGAGTTCAAGTAAGACAGCTTCAAATATTCTTAAGAACAATCACTTAAACTACACCATCAGTATATCCTGCTTTCATTTTCAGGTCACGAATTCAGATCTAAAAACCAACTGAACAGTATGCATGTACTTTGATTCTATTCCCTTCCCTCGGGATGATTTTTCCACAACTCCTTCTGGGATCTCACTTAAAACAATGGCATATTGACTGTACACATGGGTGGTTTACTGGCTTTTAGTGCAGGTTTAAATTTGACCTTGGAAGCTTGTGGCAAGCAAGTCACTAATTAATCCTAAAAGTACAGCCAAAATACTATGAATCACTGTGGGTGTGTTACAAAGTGACAATTAACAATGCATATATCAAAAAGTACTGTGCTCATTAGATCAGAAACTAGAACCTGAATGCAAATAAGTTGGTACGACCGGTTTTCCATAAAGCACGCACACACTTATTGTACTTTTGGTTAAGAAATCTCCAGATACTAATTTTAGACAAACATTATAGGCTATTAACTTATTGCTGCTAAAGGAAATGTTCAAAATTGCCAAGTTTCCATAAAACCAGAAGAGCTGTAAGGGGGTGAATGTGGCAAAAGAGAAGTCTTTGTTTCAATTCATTTACAGGAATAAGAACGAACTCCAATACCAAACATCAAGTGGAAAATGTGATTTTCTTTTAAATCAGTGGAGTTTTATTCCTTATTTCATGTCAGCAATTCAGCAAATGTGAAGAAAAAATCATTGAGGGCCCCCTCCCCCAACATATACACACAATGTATTTTTAAAACAAAACTGGACAGTCCTCAGTCAGTCTGTGAGACAGAGCAGAACTGAGCTCTTGTCAATAGGTCTTTTTCCCCTTCACTCTGGCTGTTTCTCAGAGTTTCCACTCACAATGGAACAGAGCTGGCACCAGCTTTCTTTTCATTTTACAGCATTTCCTACTCTATCAAGTGATAGGGGCACTACTTTCCAATAAGTGGGAAACAGAAACACAGAAAGAACTCTTCCCAGCAATATGAGCAAAACATTTATTTCTAAAAGTGCTGGGCCACTTGCATGTCCCGTACTTTTGTAAGTGGCTGAAAGATAAATCTCTTCAGAAACTAGAGAAATAATATATAATGAATCTGTACAAATGTACTATACAAGCATAGAATTCTTCTTAAATAAATATATTTTTATGTTAAAGAAAACCAGATGCATTCAGTGTGGTGCGATATGGCTATCAATGTCTTTATACAGAGAAAATTAGGAGAAAAGCCAGACTTGTGGGTGACTGAAGCTCTGTTACAACACTGTATATTGCTGGCTGTAAGTTTTAATAAACCTTATACACAAATTTTAATCTGGTATCAGTGCACAATAACAATAATCCTCGCCTGTCGAGAGGATGTCTCAAAACACTTCGTAGGATTTACTGTAAGGTGCAGTGACTGTGCATTTTGTAGATGAACGTGGCAACCAATTGGCGCAAGGCAATATCCCACAAACACCCATGGGGTGAATGATCAATTTTAATTGGATGGGCTGTTGGCCAGGACACTGGGAGAAATTGCCACCTCTTTTCGAATAGTGCCAAGTGATCTTTAACATCCAGCTGAACAAACAATCAGGACCGCAGTTGGACATCTTAACCGAAGGACGCCACCCCCAGCATTGCACTATAGTGTCATCTTCAACTAATTGGTTGTAGAAGTATTGAAAATATTGGGTTAAAAAAGTATTTAAATTCCAGAATGGTTTTCTCATCAAAATCCATTCCCCTCTCTAAAATCCACCACAGAACATCCCTATAATGGGTAAACTCAACTAAGATGAAAGGGGAGAATGCACAACTCACTGTAGGCACAAGAATAGGAGCTGTTTGCTCCCTCCATCACCTCATTCAAGATCTATCTTTCTTTGTCTGTGCTCCCACCCCCAGCTCAGGTAACTATTTAGTATTGTTAAGTGCATTTGGACGTCCTCCTGACGTGAAAGGTACTATACAAATGTTAGTTTGTACCGTATTGTCCAATTTGCGACCAACTACACTCACTGACAAGGAATAGTGGTTCTGTGCATTCCTAATGATCCAGGCCTCCAGAAGAGGAAAATGTGATGAAGGGTGGAGCACCTACAGTTAGACATCATTATAGTGGAGAGAACATAACACAGGAACATGGTGGATCCGCAGTACACTAAGGTGTGGTATACTTCCTGCCTTGGCACTGACTGGACAATTTCCTGGGCATAGTGCACAGATGTCAGCATCATCCCTGGAAACATTCATGCTCATGAGAGTCGTCTGCACTGACTGGTGCATAAGCACAATGACATCAGCATTGATCCCCACAATCCTGGAAGTGCTGGTGAGTGGCTACATTACAACGGTCTCCATTATAACCCGGGATTTCATTTTATGGACCCTCAAGTGATGAGTTGAAATGGGGTTGGACTGTGCTAGTAATTAAGTGAGAATGTGTGTCAACGAGTCATTGCTCAGTAAACAGTTTGCTTCTGAAAAATATGACATAAGAAAAATGTACAAGTATCAGTGAATAAACTAACATAAAATACTCAATCCAGTAGTCTAATACTCAAGCAAAATGAAAGCTTTATCTTTGCTCGCACTGTATTGTTAAAATGCACAAGTTCAAAATGTCTTTCGAGAATACATTCAGCTGAACATATTCAACTGAATATGCTCTTAAACTCATTTATTATTTTCCTGTTAGTGTATTCTTAAAGTAATGGTAAGAAGTCTAAAAATATAATGTTCTGTTGGGTCCATGCGTGAGGATACAAGACCTACTTGTATTTAGGTACCAGCTTTTCATGTAAAAGAAATGTCTTGAAGCCCTTAACAGAATGAGATTAATTAGAAATAAAGTGAATATTCGGGAGACAAATGTGTCATTAACAACCTACAACGAGCAGTGAGACGAGTGAGCAATTTGTTAGAATATTGTTTTAGTTTTTTAAAAAAGATGTGGCTCCTGTAAGCATAGAGGGCTGTACAATTGGCAGTTTTTATTTCACAGGTGAATTTTGCAAGCATTTGGTGGGTGAAACCAGCTGTTAACTTTCAGGCTATAAGGTCACCAAAAAGCAGGTTTGCATGTGGAGTTAGATGACAAGCAGACAGTGTACTGCCAGATTATACAATCATACATGCTCAGACAAGACTTGTTCGGCTGTCATCCAACTACTGTACTCACTGTTTTAATGGCAGCTCTCCAGCAGTTTATAATCAAATTTGATACCAGATTTTGGTGCTGTGCTGTTTGCCAGCAACAATCCTTTTTTTTAAAATAAAAAGATATAATTGCTCTACTGCTCAAAACAAAATACAGTATGTTGAGAGTAAAATCACTTACGTCTGTAGCCAAACCATTTTCCAAGATTGCTATTTCATGTGTGAAATATCAATCTGGTCACTGCAATAATTATTTATTTAATCTCACCACATTCACTTACGCCAGGAATTAATCACATCCCATGATTAAAAACTGTATTAATTTCATTCGGACCAATTGGGAAATGAGCCAAGTGTAAATAGAGATTATAATCAAATTG